AAAGGATAGCATCAGACAAACTACAGGCCAATTATCTGCTTACCAACAACTTTCAAGTCCTTAACTGATGTTGTCCCTGTTGGAGTTCAACAGCACCTAGTTGAAAACAAGTTCTTTCCACCTGACTAGAAAGGAAGCCACTCAAATAGCGGAGGAACAAAACATCAACTCCTAATTGACAAGATGATTCTGGAAAAGTAAGTGCAAGAGAAGGAAGACCAACTTGAACGTAGTGAGGATTAATAACAGATGTCAGTAGAAATATCAGAGGTTTTGTGCAAAGATCAGTGGCACGATGGAAGACATTGATGAATGGTGGTAGACTGGGAGATGTTAATATCAAAAGAGGAAACTTTCAAGGAGATTTGCTATCACCTCTACTATTTATCATTGCACCGATTCCTCTGTCAATCACCCCGAATAATCACTACAAATACATGATCATTCTTGAAATTGACAATATCGAGCACACTGAAGTCAAGAAGAAGATTAGAAGTGAATACATCAAAAGAATGAAGATCTTAAGGTCCAAGCTCAGTGGAGAAAATACCATCAAGGCATAGCCAGACAATTCCAGTCATTACGTTCATAGCTGTAATAGGGGACTGGGCTCAAGTAGAACTAAGAGCTGTGGATAAGACCAAAAAATAATGACAATGAATCATGCTCTTCATCCCCCTGAGTGATGTTGACAGACTCTACTTACCAAGGAAAATAGGTGGGATGTTTCAAGTACAGGAGTTGATTGAAGAGGGAAAAAGAGAGCATTGGAAATATATTTGAAAAACAGTGAAGAAAATGTACTGAAGCTGGTATACCAGTGTTTCTCAACCTTGTCAACTTGAAGATGTCTGGACTTCAACTCCCAGAATTCCCCAGCCAGCGAATGCTGGCTGGGGAATTCTGAGAGTTGAAGTCCAGACATCTTCAAGTTGACAAGGTTGAGAAACACTGTGGTATATACCATGAAGACTTACTGAGTACTTAAGTGTTAGGTGTTTTGGTTTATTTAAGATGGTTAGTTTACTTTTTCAGACACAAGTCTATTGAAAAACTACCTACATCAACCAAGTGCTTCACTATCAGTACCAAACTAACAACCCAACCTCCCATAAGAGAAACTGTTTCCAATGCACAAACACATTGCAGCAACACTGAACGTCAGAAAATAGAATCAGAACATCTATACAAGGTTTTCCAACAAAACGGATACCCACACAACTTTATCAAAACGTCTCAGTCTAATGCGAGCTGTGAAAAAGATAACAGTATCATATATCAAAAAATATCTCAGAAACTACCATGAGACCATTATAACCACATGGCATTGCTGTGGCACACAAACTAACTAAAGCTCTCCAAAGCATCCTCAGTAAACTAAAAGACACAGCAGCCTCAGAAGAAGAAGAAAAACAGGAGTTATCTATAACATAGATAGAGTGTAAGGACTGTAACACCTACTGTGTAGGACAAACAAGCAGAAGACTAGCAGAACACATCCTTGAAATCTAGTAATTGACGAACATTATTTTAAACACAGATATAGCAATGCAATTTGACCTAGAGAAATGTGTTCTTGTAATAATAAATTGGGGTAAAATCACAAACAATAGTGGAATTGAAATGTTGAATGCCCAAATTAGGATAAAGCCTACAGCATCTGGGCATTTTACAGTTGGATAGTATCAAGCGTGGAGAAATTAAAATGTGATCACTGAAGAATAGATCCAAAGAGTGAGGTATTGTTTGGCTAAACCTGGACTATACCTATGATATGATACTCTGCTGCAAATATTAAGTGGACTCAAGCTGAACTGGACCAAAAAAACAAGAAAATGGATGACTATTGACTATGCATTACGTCCTATGATGATAGTAATAAATTATACCTCTCCCACAGAAACAGAGGTAAAGGTTTACTTCAAGTCAAATAAACAGTCACAGATGGAAAGCATCCCTGGCTGATTACATAAGACAGCCAAAAACAAGCATTGATGCAATTTAAATTTTTTTGAATGTGCAGGAAGCAAAACATGAATATCAAAATAATGTAATTAAAACAAGAACAGAATGCTGGCAAGGAAAAGCAATATATGCTTAATTTTTACAAAAGAGTGAGGTGAAAGTAGATAAAGCTAATACCTGGCAATGGTATGGGCTTACAAGTGGAATATTAAAAAAAGAAACTGAAGGCTTTATTTTACCTGCTCAAAAGCAAGCTATTCAAACTAATGCAAACAAGGCCAAAATTGAAATATCATCAAATGATTCAAAGTGCAGATTGTGCACAGAGGTAAGAAACAGGAGATCATATACGTACTTAGCTCATGCAAGAAGTTTGCACAAACTGATTATAAACAACAGAGTCACCAAAATGATTAGCTGGAACATCTGTAAAAAATATCATGTGCCAGTACTGTTCTAAAAAATTGTGGGAAGATTGAGTTTAAAAGTAGTAATAAACGAACAGGTATAAATATTGTGGAATTTCGGAACACTGATAATACAGATTTAACTGTTAAAAAAGAAGAAAGTCTGGATACTTGGTATGGCAACAATAGATAATAGAATTAAACACAAAGAATTAGAAAGGAGCAGAAAGTGTGAAGATCTGAACATCAAAATTGAAACATTGTGGCATAATTTACGATGTTGAGTATATAATAATATAGTTCAAATTTCTAAATAATATATTGTTTCTTGAGTCTTCCAAGTTAAATATATCACTTAACTTAAAAAATATGAATATTGAGGGGGCATAGACCTCTCAGTCCTCCCAAAGAGGGAACATGACTCAAGTTTACTACATTGGCATGTTGTTGCTTACAGTGGGAAGAGGAAGAGGAAGACAGAAGTAGCTGGAAGATAACATACAGGCTGAATAGATGCCCCATCTTGATTTCTGTAGCTAAGGCTATTGCGAGAGAATCTGGGACATCTAGGATGGAACTTTTGAGCTCACAAAAGGCTAATTTGTGACCTCAGCTACATAAAGCTCTAATGTGATGGCAGATAGTCTCTAGTATTACCAACTCTTCTGGTAATCATTAGTCCTAAACTATCATAGTTGGTGTCTCATATTCACACTCTTAAATGCAGTGGATATGACACCATATATGATGAATCATTTCCTTATTGAAAGCAAGTATATTTTTTAAAAAATGCAGGCAGTGTAATACACATTCTCCCCAACACTGTTTGCACCATTTGAAAGTGCAAATCACTGATTTTCTTTTTTCCCCAGCACCTGTTCAGATATGGCCAACTTTCCAATTATAAACATGGGGGGGGGGAAAGGCACCCCTACCACCATTTGAATTAGAAAGGGGTTCACATATGCTGGACCATAACCGTTGTAGTTAAACCATGACTTTTCAAATAAACATTAGATGGACGCATCTTAGCATGCTAGGCCATTAATCCTAGATATCAAGTCACAGTGATGGAATTTAAACAATCTGCTAAAATAGCAATAGCATATATACTGCTTCATAGCGCTTTACATTACACCCTCTCTAAGTAGTTTACAGTCAGCATATTGCCCCTGTTGCAGAAAATGACAGGCTTTAGACTTCTCAGGATACAGGAAAAGTTTATTTGGCAGCCAGGTTCAGAAAGCCAGCCCATGGCTTAGCATTGCAAATTCTGAACAACCTTCATTATTGAAGCACGCATT